CAGCTCTGTTGCAGATTTAAGCGAATTTTCGACAATAATGCTGTTGAAGATCTTGACCACTAACTGGTATATGTTTGTTCCATTGAAATTTGACATGATGTTCTTTTTATTTAATTTAAATCTCCCTTCAATTCAACTGTTTTCTCTTAAAGAATGGAGTTTGATTTAGAGGGCGCTAGACAAGGTGATGACCAGATTAATTACTTGACTAAAGCTAAGCATCATTAAATACTTAAAAGATATTTCCAAGTCGTCAAGTAATATCCTGTTTTAGGTCAGACTTGGACTAGTTTCGTGTATTTTCCATTTCTTTTGGGATCTAGAATATTTTTGGACGTGTAGATTTTTTGTTACATGATAGTGTTATAATATCCTTTTTTTTCTCTCCACATGTTTAAAGGCTTTTGGAACCCCCTTCTTTCTATAAGTTTTTAAATGCGCTATTCCTTTGCCCCTTGCAAATAAATAATTTGATAGCTTCGACTAGGACCTAAAAAAAAAACATTCCTCAAGTAATATGTTACCATATATTGACTACTTTTCTATTCACCGCTATTAAATCGACAAAATACATGCAACAGTATAAAAATCTCGTATAATTGAAGGTGCGAAGGTACTTCTAAAATAAAAATCTAGTTCCGACAAAAAATAAATAAATAATAAAATTTTTGTTAGAAAAGCCTATTTTCAGTAGTTTGAACTCCGCAAGTAACCACTTTATTTGGTCTCATCTTTCTTAAATACCATACTAGAACTCCAGCACTCGCCAAGCCAGCAACAGAAACAACGGTTGTAGTCCCTGAATTAACAATCACAAATATTAGTTAAAATCTAAATTAACAATAAATTCAATTTTGAACCTATAATAATTGTCATATGGTGATACTTCACGTTATGTAGTAACTACTAACTAACCTGCAATTACTGTTGCAGGCGTTCTATGCTGTAATGACTTGTCTGCAAAAAAACACAATGAAACAAAAAATTAAAGCACTTTTTGATTAAAGCTATAGCTAAACTATGTGTTTTGTTTGAATTTCTGAACACAAATATAAATGAAACAATAAATTAAAGCACAATTTGATTAAAAATATAGCTAAATAGTGTTTTTTGGTTAAGTTTCACTAAACAAACATAAATGATTAGAGACAAAAAAATTATCGATAAAAAGCTCTCTCAGAAAACTACCCTTGAACTAATATCATATACTTGTAACTATATTTACAAAAAACTAACATGAATTTTTCATATATATACTCCACTGAGCAATATTCATAAACTTCATAAGTTACGCGAGATAACTCCCATCGACTTTCAGATGTGATCATAAAAGTATCATAAAGTTTTCTAATAGTACATGACATATTTGTTATTATTATTATTTCCCCACAGGTTTTAAACGTTATGGTATTATTCCGTAGTAAAGGTAGTGTTAGAAGTTATGCAGAACCGACTTCAAGAAATCTAGGAGCTTCTCAAAGTCTAGAACCTAGAAGCATCTCTATCTATCTAGTAAATTGTCATGGAGTTTTGTAGAAATTTCTAGAGAAAAAAGCAAACTGACATTGAACCCTATAAAAAGGGGTTGTGCCATTCGGTTTTGTGTCAAGGGAGTGAAAACAAGAGAAGCAAGGAGTGAGGCTAAGAAAAAGGCTAAAAGTAGGTTGAAGTGTAGGCAGGGAGTGAAAACAAGAGAAGCAAGGAGTGAGGCTAAGAAAAAGGCTAAAAGTAGGTTGAAGTGTAGGCCCTGTGTAGAGAAAGAGAGAGATTGAGAAAAGAAGTAAAGTGAATGTTTTGTAGAAGCTAGAGAGATAGGCTAAAGAAGCCTAGAGGGAGTAGAGTGGCTGTGAAGAAAAAATTTAGAGAGAGAAGAGTGAGCAAGTGACGTGTATCTTGTAATATTTTATATCAAAGACAAATTTGAGTTGAAGTCCATTTTCATCCAAAAGTCTTTGTTCAAGTCCTCATTTGTAGAGGGTTCATTCCATCAAAGTGGTATCAGAGCAAGGTTCGATCTAGCCGGGCCAATCGAAGGTGCTCGTGTACGAGATGGCGAACATGATCCAGCCACAGATTCCGAAGCTGATGAAGACCAATTACGATAACTGGAGTATCCAGATGAAAGTCTTGCTCGGCTCGCAAGACTTATGGGAACTTGTAGAGAACGGTTATGCAGAGCCGGACTCACCTACTGCTGAAGCCAATCTCAGTGCCACTCAGAAGAGTGAGCTGAAGGAGGTCAGAAAAAGAGACAAAAAGGCATTGTTCCTAATATTCCAAGGCGTAGATGAATCAGCGTTTGAGAAGATTTCCAATGCCCTGTCCTCTAAAGAAGCATGGGAAATTTTACAAAAATCCTATCAAGGTGCGGAAAGAGCCAAAAAGGTACGCCTCCAACCATTAAGAGTTGAATTTGAAAATTTGAAGATGAAAGCTACAGAATCAATATCAGACTATTTTAGTAGAGTTCAAACAATAACTAATCAAATGAAGAGAAATGGAGAAGCAATTAATGATGTAAGAATTATGGAGAAGATACTTAGAACTTTAGACTCTAAATTCAAATATATTATTCCGGCAATACAAGAGTCTAAAGATCTTTCCGAAGTTTCGATCGATGAGCTGCAAGGTTCTCTGCAAGCTTATGAACAAGATATAAACATTAGTTCAAATCAAGCGGAGAATCTAGAGCAAGCCTTACAGAGTAAGATGACTATCAAAGAAGATAGTCAAAGAGGACGTGGAGGCTACAGAGGCAGAGGCTCCTTTCGAGGTGGCTCAAACTTCCAGCAAGGTCGTAAGAGACAGTACCAAGGAGGCCATGAAAATCAAGATCGAAATAGAGATCGTGAAGGATCATTCGATCGAGGACGAGGTCGTGGCACACGAGGACGAGGACAAGGAAGAAGTTACCATGAGGACAGATCTCAGCCACAGTGTTACAAATGCAAGAGATACGGTCATCTCAGCTACGAATGTTGGGAGAAATCAAATCAAGTGGCAGAAAGAAGCAACTTTGTGGAAAGGGAGCAGGCAGACACTTCAACAGTCCTGTTGACGTACCAGGAGAGCGAAAGCAAGAATAAAGATATCTGGTATCTAGATTCAGGTGCCAGTAACCACATGTGCGGCATCAAGGAGTTCTTTACCGAGCTGAACGAGACGGTACAAGGAGATGTCACTTTTGGAGATCAGTCAAAGATTCCAGTAAAAGGCAAGGGCAATATAATGATCCAGACAAAGACGGGCGAGAACAGGTACATCTCTGATGTCTACTATGTTCCAGCATTACGAAATAATATTTTGAGCCTAGGCCAGCTCCTTGAAAGAGGCTATGATATACATCTAAAAGACCTTGCCCTCACTATTAAAAATAAAAATAAAGTTATTGCAAAGGTGAACATGTCTAGAAATAGACTGTTTACCTTAAATATTCATGCTGACCCTGTCAAGTGCCTGAAGACAATCATAAAAGACGAGACTTGGCTCTGGCATCTACGATTCGGGCATCTCGCTTTTAGTGGCCTGAATCTTCTATGGAAGGAGAAAATGGTGAAAGGATTGCCACAAATCAACCATCCGAACCAGCTATGTGAAGGCTGTATGAAGGGCAAGCAACATAGAAAAAGTTTCGAAGTTGGAAAGTCAAGAAGAGCAACGGAACTGCTACAACTGGTCCACACAGATATTGCAGGACCATTTGAAGTCGTCTCTCTTGGAGGAAACATGTATTTTCTCACATTTATTGATGATTATAGCAGAAAAACATGGGTTTATTTCCTGAAGGAGAAATCCGAAGCTCTGGAGAAATTCAAAGAATTCAAGGAGATGGTAGAAAAGCAAAGTGGGTACCATATTAAGGTGCTCCGATCAGATCAAGGCGGAGAATACACTTCAAAGGCATTCAACAATTTCAACAAGCAGTACGGGATAATTCATCAACTCACTGCCACCTACACACCACAACAGAATGGAATAGCAGAGCGGAAGAATCATACCATTCTTGATATGGTCAGAAGCATGTTGAAGAGCAAGTACCTGCCAAAGACTTACTGGGCTGAAGCCGTGGACTGTGCAGTTTACCTCCTCAACCGATGTCTGACAAAGAGCGTCAAGTTCAAGACACCATTGGAGATGTGGAGCAACATCAAGCCAAGTGTCAACCACCTGAAGGTGTTTGGGTGCATTACATATGCACACATCCCAGAGCAGAAAAGAAAGAAGTTAGACGATCGAGGAGAAAAGTGCATATTCGTTGGGTACGAGAGGAGGACAAAAGCATACAAGCTCTACAATGGTACGAGAGGAGGACAAAAGCATACAAGCTCTACAATCCAGTTACAAAGAAGATGATCATTTCAAGAGATGTGGAGTTCGATGAAGAAGATTATTGGAAATGGACCGATGAAGATAAAAATATTAAAGGTATGTTCTTTGAAGATAATGATGATGACTTGCAGGAGGTTGAAAGACCAGAACAAAGTCCACCTAATAGTCCAGCTCCATCAACCCCAACATCAACGCCGACATCATCCAGCTCAAGTGAAGGAAGCTCTTCAGGGGGAGCAACAAGGAGGATGAGAAGCCTAAGAGATCTGTACGACGATACAGAGCCTGTCGAGATGATGGATGACTACACACTATTCTGCTTGTTTGCAGAATGTGATCCGGTCAGCTATGAAGAAGCTGCTCAAGAAGATAAGTGGAGAAAAGCCATGGATGACGAGATCGAGGCAATCAAGAGAAATGACACATGGGAGCTCACTACCTTACCTGAAGGCCATAAACCAATCGGAGTAAAGTGGGTGTACAAGACAAAGACAAATCAAGATGGCGGAATCGAGAAGTACAAGGCCAGGCTTGTTGCAAAAGGCTATAGTCAGTGAGAAGGAGTTGACTATGAAGAAGTGTTCGCGGCAGTCGCGAGGATCGACACCATCCGACTCATTATCGCATTAGCAGCACAGAACCGGTGGAAGATCTACCAGATGGACGTGAAGTCTGCATTCCTGAACGGCTACTTAGAAGAAGAAGTCTACATCAAGCAACCACCAGGGTACGAGGTGAAGAATCAAGAAGACAAAGTCTACAAGCTGAAGAAGGCATTGTATGGACTGAAGCAAGCGCCCAGAGCATGGAATGCCAGAATCGATGCATACTTCCAGAAGAACGGATTCCATCGGAGCCCGTATGAGCACTCTCTCTATACCAAGAAGAAGGATGAAGACATCATGATCGTATGTCTCTACGTGGACGACATGATCTTCACCGGCAACAATCCGAAAATGTTCGAGGAGTTCAAAAAGAATATGATCAAGGAGTTCGAGATGACTGACATTGGAGAAATGTCATACTTTCTTGGAGTAGAAGTGTCGCAATCAGAGAAAGGAATCTTCATCTCTCAGAAGAAGTATGCAAAGGATATCCTTCAGAAGTTCAACATGAGCAACTGCAATCCAGTCGCAACTCCTGCAGAAGTCGGAGTGAAGCTGAGGCGAGACACACCAGGAAGCTATATTGATCCAACTCTATACAAGAGTTTAGTCGGGAGCTTGCGCTACCTAACCATCACCAGGCCCGACATAGTGTTCGCGGTAGGAGTGGTGAGCAGATATATGGAGGAGCCAAGACAGGAGCATTTCAAAGCAGCCAAAAGAATTCTCAGGTATGTCCGAGGAAGTATTGATCAAGGATTATTTTATACACAGTGTACAGATTCGAGATTAGTCGGCTACACCGACAGCGATTATGGTGGAGATTTAGATGAAAGAAAGAGCACATCTGGCTATATGTTCAATATCGGATCAGCAGCATTCTCATGGTCATCAAAGAAGCAGTCTGTCGTCGCTCTATCAAGTTGCGAAGCAGAATACATAGCAGCATCAGCATGTGCGTGTCAAGCAATATGGCTAAGGAGTCTGATGAAGGAACTGCAACACCAACAGGAAGCACCGACAGAGATCCTCATCGACAACAAGTCAGCTATTGCACTTGCCAAAAATCCGGTAGCACATGGACAGAGCAAACACATAGAGACAAGATATCATTTCATCCGTCATCAAGTTAAAACGAAGACTGTGATGCTGACATATTGCAGGACCGAAGATCAAATTGCTGACATCTTCACCAAGCCACTGAAGGCTGAAACATTTTTCAACCTTAAGAATCAACTCGGACTGATAAACAATAAAGTCGCTGCTGAGGGGGAGTGTTAGAAGTTATGCAGCACCGACTTCAAGAAATCTAGGAGCTTCTCAAAGTCTAGAACCTAGAAGCATCTCTATCTATCTAGTAAATTATCATGGAGTTTTGTGGAAATTTCTAGAGAAAAAAGCAAACTGACATTGAACCCTATAAAAAGGGGTTGTGCCATTCGGTTTTGTGTCAAGGGAGTGAAAACAAGAGAAGCAAGGAGTGAGGCTAAGAAAAAGGCTAAAAGTAGGTTGAAGTGTAGGCTCTGTGTAGAGAAAGAGAGAGTGAGAAAAGAAGTAAAGTGAATGTTTTGTAGAAGCTAGAGAGATAGGCTGAAGAAGCCTAGAGGGAGTAGAGTGGCTGTGAAGAAAAAATTTAGAGAGAGAAGAGTGAGCAAGTGACGTGTATCTTGTAATATTTTATATCAAAGACAAATTTGAGTTGAAGTCCATTTTCATCCAGAAGTCTTTGTTCAAGTCCTCATTTGTAGAGGGTTCATTCCATCAGGTAGTTTATAAAAAAAATCACAAAACCCCTTAGTTTATAAACAAATTGCACAAAACCCCGATGGTAATTCGTAGCAGAACCTTGCGATTCCCCAAAATCACCAACAATTTCTTTTTAAAGATAAAATTAACTCACCTCCGCAATAAGTAGTCACGTTCCCTCCCTGCTCACACAAACACAAAAACTCCCCGCTGTGCACATCATACCCACAAACCCCTCCCCCCTTCTCCCTACACATCCTACACCTCTCGATCACCGGCACCTCGAAATCCACCCTCACTCCAAACTCCGCCACCTCATCACCATACCTCCCCTCCCCCTCCGCCCCCTCCCGCCTGTTCGACCTCCAGTACACACTCGCGTACCCACCGCTGCAATGCCTCAAACATCATCCTCACAGACTCCCTGGCGGTCGGCCGGTACGCGCAAGCAGCTCGTGTCGGTTTCGGTCAGTCTGTTCGGGCAGTGGGGAGGTTTGCGCAGAGGAGGCGGCGGAGTCGCCAGACGGAGGGCCAGCGGTCGCGGGGAGAAGTTTTCTGCAGAGAAGGGGGGTTGCGGGCGGCATGAGGATGGAGGACGGGGAGCAGTTGAAGAAGAGAAGTGGTTGGATGGGGGAGAGGGACGAGGGAGTGCTCGTGTCGAGCGGCGAAGGCGAGGGGAGGGCGAAGGGAGGGGGCGGAGGGGGAGACCAGGAGAGGAGGAGGGTTCGCGCGAGAGGAGGAGGTGAGGGAGAGGACTGAGGCAGGAGGAGATGCGGTGGACGGGTGTAGCGCGGCCCGGATGTGTGGTGTTGTGAGGAGGAGGAGGAGGGTGGAGGGTGGCCAGGAGAGGCGAGGTTTGTGGTAGCGGGGATTGCCGCCAGCCGGTGTCGATGCCGAGGGGTACGGGAACCGGGGGATTTAGGGCCTCGCAGGAAGGTGGGCAGAGGTCTCGACTGGGCGGGGCGGCGATAACGGTTGAGCAGCGAGCAAGAGGAGGAGAGCCATAGGTAGTTGTGTTGATGACGGTCGAGCGGGAAGGATTGTTCTTTTCATGTGGTGTGGTTTGATCATGAGCATAATTAAGTTGCTCTTTTGCTTTTGCTTTTGCTCAAGATTGATCCTTTATTCCTGTGTTTTCCCCCCTCTCTTTTGCTTTTGTTTGGGATTTTGGCGTTGAGACTTTCGGTTGTTTATATGATGCCTTGTCAGTAGTCGCGCATAACGAAGTTCTCTAGTTCGGACTTTTTACTCTGATCAGAGGATACACACACAAGCGTTGGAGAGTTGATGGTTAAGAAATAAATTAAATTAATTCATTTAGGGGATTCTTCTATTTTTACCCGTGGTTTTTATCCCAAATTCATTTAGGGGGGTTTTCACGTAAATCCGTGTGTTCATTTCATTACTTCTACTCTACTATTCGCTGGGACATTGCTCCATTGGGCCCCGGGTTTATCCCAACAATTTGTATTAGAGCCAGACTTAGGGTGCGTGTATTTACTTTATTGTATGCTCTGTGGCTATCACTAAAGGTGGATCCTCCACGTCAGAAAATAAGTTAGATTATCATTCACCATTTGAAGGCGACAGTACTATTCACGAGTACGTTACTGTTCATAAATACAACAATATTTACAAGTACAATACTATTCACGGATACTGTTACTGTTCAAAAATACAATTACTGTTTACGTGAAATAGTAAGAAGCTACTGTTCGTGGTAGAAGCAATGGCGGAGAAATTCGAGATCGAGAAATTCAATGGGAGTAAATTCTCACTGTGAAAGTTAAAGATAAAGGCTTTATTGAGAAAAGATAATTACCTAGCGACCATCGGTGCAAAGCCAGATGACATCACATATGATAAGAAGTGCAACGAGATGGACGAAAATGCTATTGTAAATCTCCATCTGACATTAGCAGATAGGGTGTTGTCAAGTATAGAGGAAAAAAGACAGCAAATTGTTAGATCCTAGGGGGGTGATTAGGGTCTTATGCTAATCTAATCCGGTTTTATGCCAATTAAAACTAATTAATAAATTATTCTTGCAAGATAGATATACAATATGTTATGAGTAAGAATATGCAATATGAATAAAGAGATATATCCTAGCAAAGAGATATATGATGAAATATATATAAGGATATATAGACTAATGCAAGGGTGAAATAAACATAAACTAGATAAGAGTGATAGTGTAAATAAACAATGCAAACACACAATATGATCACGGAGTTCGGACCTTCCGTCCTACGTCTCCGCTCCCCACTCCCGGAGAGAAATCCACTATCACAATCGAGTTTTCTACGATCACCCGAATAACGTTTACACCATACAATACCACAATGTAACTGCATTTCACACACTCTAAGTGTTGGTCCCTCCATGTCCTTCCTCAAGTGCTCGGATACAACCTCTCCCTAGGTTCGTCAACCGACGCAACTCCTCTTGGAAGCAATCCGGACTCTCACCACACACTCCTCTCGGTGTACTTAGTGTAATACAAAGTAAATCTCATAATAAGGCACAATACAAAGTGTTTGTTCTCTACAATGGATGAAAACGAATTATAAGCTCACTCTCTAGGTTACACAATCTCACAATCCAATTATACTATGAATGTAAATACAATAAGCTCAATGGTTGTGTGTGTGTAAACAAAGAGAAATAAATCAAAACTAAACTCAATATAATTCTAGCTTAATAATAATGATAATCAAATATATATAAAAGAACTAGAAATAGAGTTTAGAAAACTTCTCAATAGATCAAGACATTGAGGGAGGATGGTTGGATGCTCAAACACCAATAGATAATCTCCTCAAGCTCTTGTGAAATTGATTTTTGGATGCTCAAACACCAATAGATAATCTCCTCAAGCTCTTGTGAAATTGATTTCCCAAAATCAAACTCTCAAATGCTTAAAAGAAGCTCTTGTGAAATTGATTTCCCAAAATCAAACTCTCAAATGCTTAAAAGCTTTTTAAACACACTTAAATAAAAACTTAAACCCTTGATGAAACTCTTTTAAACTTGGTTTAAAACCCTCTCTTAGTTATGTAAAATAGTTATGACAAAGGGGTATATATAGGCTTGAAGAAAACAACTCAAAAAACCCATTAAAAATAAAAAACAGATGTTACCATTACTGTGCAATGGTCGACTGCTACAGTAACAGTGGTCGACCATACTGTAGCATGGTCGACCGCACTGTTCGAGGACAGTTTCTGTTTTTGACAGATTCTGGAATTTTACATATCTGACATTGTAAAATCAATTAAAAATAGTAAATCAACTTCAAAAATCATGAACTTTTGAGGGAAGGTTCAATACATGTAGATAAACATGTTAGAAAAAGAATTTCTGAAATATCACTTCCCAGTTGAGAGAAATAATTGTTTGAACACAGATATACAGTTTCTAAAAAAAACTGCTGGAAACATGTTTATGTAAATTCAATTGAAAATAACAAAACAACTCCAAAATTAGTAAAACTTGAGAAAATATTTGTATATATGATGATAAACATGTAAACGAAGAAATTTTTCAAATCGCATTTCCCAATTGTGAAAACATATCTGTTATATAAAAACATGCACGAACATGTGCACGAACATGAGCTTATTTAAAACTTGATTTTGTAAATTCAAATAAACATAACAAATTAATTCCAAAATTGATAAAAATTTGGAAAACGTATCTGTTATGTAAAAACATGCACGAACATGTGCACAAACATGAGCTTATTTAAAACTTGATTTTGTAAATTCAAATAAACATAACAAATTAATTCCAAAATTGATAAAAATTTGGAAAATATTTATAAACATGAAATTGAACATGTTAGAAAAAGAATTTCTCAAATTGAATTTCTTATTTGTGAAAACTCATGTATTTTGCAAGTGTGTCCAAAACATAAAAATGTGATATACATGAAATTTGATGTTTTGACATAAACAATGTTTTGAAACTCTATGAAATGATTTTATATACTTAATGAAATATGTATACAATGATTGTTAAGTCCATAAATCAAAACTTGTGTGTATATATATAACTATATATACAAAAACCAAATACGTGTGTGTGTATATGATTGAGCTTAAAGTACTAACACACATAATATAAAACCTAAGCTAAATATACCCAAGCTTGATTGATCTTTGATATAGCTCAACTTGGTATACTTACGGATGAAGCTAAAACTTGGATCTTCAATTTGAATTGCATAGGCTTTACTCCATAATTCCACCAACCTCCATTTGATATGATCGTGAATGCTCGATTTCATCCATCCTCCAACATATTATTTGTCTACAATAAATAAGAAAACACTAATACTAGACAAATAATATTAGTAGTAAATTATTTGTTAAACATTATCAAAACAAGAAGGCCAACACAAATGAGATCTGGGATACTCTAACAAAGCTATATGAGGTAAAATCCATACACAACAAAATCTTCTTAAAAATGAGACTTTACACTCTGAGGTTGGCGAAATCTACATCAATCACCATAAACACACTGTTCTCCCAACTCACAACGTTGGGGCATACAATCGGTGTGAATGAACGTGCAGAACTTCTACTTCAGAGTCTACCTGACTCGTATGATCAGCTCATCATCAGCCTAACAAACAACGTCCTCATGGACTATCTAGTCTTTAACAACATTGCAGTCACTGTTCTGGAGGAAGAAAATCGATACAAGAACAAGAAAGACAGGCAGACAAATTCGCAACAAGTAAAGACCTTATCGGTGACGAGAGAAAGATCAACGACCATAATGAAGAAAGATCATTAGAAATAAATGGGTCTATAAGATCAAACGAAATGGCGATGATCAAGTGGAGCGATATTGTGCTAGATTAGTGGTAAAATGATATGCTCAAAAAGAAGGTATTGACTTTAATAAAATATTTTCTCCTGTAGTTCGACTTACAACAGTCCGAATAGTCCTGGCTATGAGCGTTATATTTGACTTAAATTTAGAGCAGCTAGATGTGAAAACAACATTTCTTCATGAAGATCTTGAAGAAAAAATTACTTGCTCCAACCTTAAGGTTTTGAAGAAAAAGGAAAATAGAACTTGGTTTGCAGATTGAACAAATCTCTGTACGGTCTAAAGCAGGCGCCGAGTTGTTGGTACAAGAGATTTGATTCATTTATCATGAGCCTTGGATACAACATACTTAATTTAGACCATTGAGCATATTTCAAGAGGTTTGGTAAAAATAACTTTATTATCTTATTGTTATATGTTGACGACATGTTGGCTGTAGGCCGCAACCAAGATTGTATAAAAGAATTAAAGGCACAGTTGGCTAGAGAATTTGAAATGAAGAATTTAAGATTTGCAAATAAGATTCTAGGGGTACAAATTTACCGAGACAGAATCAATAGGAAGATTTGGCTTTCTCGGAAGAATTATTTGAAGAAAATTTTGCGGCATTTTAACATGCAAGATTGGAAGTCAATTTCT